TGACATATACTAATCAACTATCATAGGGTAAAAACATGCATGTAGGTCATAGCGTAAATAAGAGGTTCGAGCCGGTGCTTCCCCGCTTATAAGCTCCACATCCTTCCTCTTGCTGAACGCAGCAAGGAGCGATGACTTTGACGTCGACACATGGTCGACATGTAAACAAAGCTGGCTGACCTGCCTCACCACAGATGTCATCACTGTGTTCCTTTGGGTTTGTTGTTGATATTGTCTTCGTAGAAACGGTGGAAAGGAACAAAAGAAAAAAGAAAAAAAGAAGTGTTGCGTGTGGTGTTGTGTACCGCTGAGTCTGTGCTACCAAAAGCTGTTGTTACAAATGAGGTGAAAGGTAAGGGTACGTGAACGTGAGGATGGCCACATAGTTGTGTGGGTGAGTGAAATGTTTTCATGGCTGCCACCCACGTCAACACACCCTGTTTCCTCTTGAGTAATCATGTCAGTCAAAGCCTACACACCACTACTACTATGATAATTCAAGCTGCTGTCTGTGATTTGATTATTTTTCAGCCGAGAGTTTTTGCTGTACAGTGTTTCATTATTATATTATTCTCCCTCGGCCTCAGAGGCATATGACCTCCCAACGTCTTCAACTACCTGTTTAAACTGGTTTGAGCTGGGCTTTTGTAATCCAGATGGCGCCATATTTTTTGCTCTGTGCCATACTGCAAATTTTGGTATCAATCTATTAATCTATTAGCAAGTAAATGCAAGCCCAGTATTGCTAATGCCAATGCCGATACTGATAGTTTTAACTTACAAAGGCCGCTTACATGGGGGAGAGCAGTGTCCCATGATTTGTGAGATGAATCATTGATTTTTACTTTTTCCTATAATGAGTTAATACAACAAAACACACCTTTCAACATTGCGTATATTTTGAAAGTGGGGCAGCTTTTCTTGTTTATATGTGATTTAAGCTATGAATAAAATAGACGTGACCGTCACCAAAAAAAGGCTCAGACTTTATTCAAACTATTTGAGGTATTGTTTTTTCTTCACATGTTTTTTAACACAATTCAGTGGGCTAGAATTCAGAGGCCCAGTATCGATACGATACCAAAACCCGCATTGGTATCAGTACTATCATACACCTCTAGATGGAAGTGGAATTTCTTAAATACACCGAGTACATCAGAGGACAAATTTTCACTTCCACAATATTCAACATTTTCAAGGAGTGGTCGTCAGAATAAAACAGGATGTTTGCTTTGTGTGCTTTGTGGCGATTCATATGTCTGGTAATCTAGGAAAGTTTTGGTGGGCAGCTTTGAGGAACAGTGCATTAGACTGAACTTTCAATATTGATATAAACTTCATTACCTTAAAGATCAGTGGGATGTTGTGTTTCCTTTCCTTTTCTTTTTTTTATTCCTACTTTAGTGAAGTGCATGCAGTCATATTTAGAGTCAGTTTCTCTGAGTGAAGTCTTGACTGTTTAAACGAGCTCAGATGCACATTTCTGTTTTCATTTCTTGACTATTTTCTTTCTTGACTATTGATTGGTTAGCAGTTCCTAAAGTAGCTGTAAGGCTGTATCCTACTTAGTGTTTACAAATAACTAACTAAATAATCAAACAGTTGAAATTTACCTAACTTGTTTAACTTGCTTTTTCATTTATGCAGTCATTGGACATCTATTGGCTTGTTTTATTGTGACATGCAATAAACACAATCTAATATTTTACATAAACATGCTAATAATAATTGGTGACTGTTTCTTGGTAAAATGTACATGCAGTTTGTTTTTTAAATTTTACTTGGATGTTTTTGCATTGTGGCCTTTTTACTTTAAAAGTAAACTGTGCAAATAAATGATCACATTACCACAAATTTCAAGAAGACTCAGAAATCTATTGCATTTTAATATTTTGTAAGACTGCATGTAAAGATGAAAATGTGCTTTTTGAAGTAAGTAAACTTTGTGACTTTCTAAACACTTTGAAATTATTTTCAAGTGGATTTTCCCTAATATTTTTACCGCTGAAAATGATAGTCTTTTCAGATTTCATGTGAATAAA